CACGTCAGCAGTGCCACGTCAGACACAGTGACACGTCAGCTACAGTGACATGTCAGCTACAGTGACACGTCAGCAGTGCCACGTCAGACACAGTGCCACGTCAGCAGTGCCACGTCAGCAACATGACGGGCCTGCCAGGCCAACTGGCCAATGAGCCCATTGCCGACTACAAAAAGCGTTTCCAGGCTCAGCTCGCTATCATTGAGGCTGAGGAACAACGCCAGCTGGCAGCCAAGGCTGCCCAGCTACAGGCTGAAGAAGCGGCAACAGCAGAGAAGCTGCGGCTACAGGCCGAAGCAGACGCAGATGCCCAGGCTCGCCGCAAGGAAGCCCAGGATCTGCTGCAGCGGCATGAAGCCACAAGCATCGAAAAACTCAAGTTCTGGCACTTTGAACCAAACGGCGATGACGGAACACCGGAAGAGCAGCACAAGGAGTTCCTCTCCAAACTCGTGACACGATTGTTGTATGCTTGCAACTACCAACGGTCCGAGTTGGAGAGACAGAACCAGGAACTGCAGCAACAGTACCAGGTTCTGAAGACGCAGCACCACGAGTTGGCAAACCTCCGCCGGATGGTGCAGAGCCACGAGGATGCAACACGGGCACTCAATTCCCGTGTACTGAACCTGGAACAGGCTGTACCAGGACCAGATGCTGGGGCTTCCAGCAGTGCACCTGCTAGCCGCCAACTCGAGGAACGCGTTGACCACGTAGTGGCAATGCTCGGCGACATCAGCACCTTCACTGCGCCGACCACCATCAGCAGTCAGCTGCATACCTTGAAGACCGAGGTCCAGCAGCTGCAGTCGACGAACACGGATGGCAATCCTAAGTTGTACAAGACGCCAACTTTCCAACTGGACAAGTTCGACGACTACACGCAGCAGGATCCGGTCCTCTGGAGGGAAGCATTCACGACGCAACTTCGGATCCTGCCTGTCGCTAAGCATGCATACATCGACGCCCTGTTCATGAACTCCAAGGGCGGATGCCAGACCTGGTTGACCCACCTTGCAACCTCTCACGGCGTCGACGTACCAGACTTGAAGGACAAAATCACATGGGAGGAACTGACACGGCTGAGGAAGAAACGGTTCATCGTCGACGACGAGCCGACACTCGCCATCAACTGTCTGTTCACCATGTCACAGGGCAACACAGCAACACGTGACTGGCTCACGGAATGGCAGAAGATCGCGGCAGTGCCCGATCTGGACTTACCATTGACGCATCTACACCGATAGTTCTACAACAGGTCATGCGCTGCGCTGAGCCAGGCACTTGGTGATCGCGAGCAGTATGCATCTTTTGCCGAAATCATCGACAAGGCAAGAGAGATCATCAAGACCAACAGGTCGGCTGCACACGAGAAGTCCACGCGGCAGCCAACCTATGTGGAGAAGGTAAGAACTAGTCCGCGACAGCAGCAGTTCGCTGCAGTCCAATCGGACAGTGGAGAAGACCCAGCAGCCACTCCAGCATCAGGTGGCTGCTCTCCAGCCGCGAAGCAACAAGCCCCGAGTAAACGGGAAGGCGAAACCAGCATCGCAGGCCGGAAACGGACAACCAGCACCACCATGGGTCAAGTTCGACTTGACCGAGGCTGAGTACAAGTACCGCAAATGTTACGGCTGCTGTTACTGGTGCAATAGCACCAAGCACAAGACCTCCATTTGCCAAGATCAGGCCAAGGAGGATGTGCGGCCTCGTCTTAACTCGGGAAACTGAGTTGCGCAG